GTGGCGTGATACTAGTCACGTGACCTCGCTGATGCAAAAATAGCATTTAACATAAGTGTCATTTTTTGATTCAATGTGTTTTTAGATCAGTGTGATATTTGATTAAATTTATGATTCAATATATTACTATGCTACAAGTTGAATAAGAACCAAAGATATCAAAGGTTCTATAGGTGTTTGGTTAGTAAGATACACATATTCTGAGAAATTATATTCACAATATGAGAAATATCATTTGATTAAGATATGAGGATTAAGTAAAAATCTGTACAAATTGGCAAATTTCATATATTGTAAAATACTACATTGTTAGAATGAACTCATTATTCATAAAAAAAAAAAAATTATTTTTTGTACAGTTTTGCAGTATTGGAATAAATAAATTAATATATACATATATATAATATAATATATATATATATAATATAGAAATACTGGTTCTCTGTATTGTACAGTTTTAACTGATGTTGATTTACCAATTAGGTGGAACTTTCTAATCAAGACTACAACCAAGAAAAAGAGGGGCACAGATCAACGAAAGAAGAGTTGGAGCGATTGAAAGAAGACCTTCTTGCACTACAGAATCACAACCAGGAACTGATGGATGAAATTAATGTTTATGCTAAATCGCAGGTGATGCATTTGCAGAAAAGCTTGCATAAGAATGAATCCTACCTTTCAGGCAACACTCGCCATTCCCGTCATAAGGGCAGGTACTGTTAATTAGGTTATATTTCATTTGAACCATGTAGTGTAATGTTGATGTTAGTTGTGAGAAGCTTACGTAAGGAGCCATCCTGCCTTTCAAACAACATTCCCATCAAAAGGGCAGTTATTGTTTATTAGATTCTTTGTCAGTTAACTCTCTCAACACATGCTCGGTCAATTTGACAGACAACATGACCTCTTTATGCTCATTTAAAGTCTTTATAGATTTAATACTTCTAACTTTCAATATAGTGTGTATATCTTTACAAAATTTGGTGGTCTTTCATTTAACATTTTAAGTCCTTCACGTACAAAAATATCATATTTTTTAATGAAGTATTTTTAATAAACTAAAATAAAGATTCGTCCATGAAGATATTGAGTATTTGTTTTGAATAGTCCGTGTTTAAAGAGGGTTTCATGTTAAGATGAAAAATTCTTTTCCTTATCTCAAAAATCTCAGATTTACTCTGTGTAATCCCTAAAACCTGCTAAATACATTTCAAACATATCCTTTCAATAACATTTTATATTTTATTTGTTATTTTTTCTACCCTTTTGTAATGGATTGTAACATGAAACTACATTCATTTATCCTAAGTAGCTTTAAGCTCATAACAGTATACATCTATTTATAATTAAATTTCACTGTTTTATTGCCTTTTTGATTGCTCTTTGAGCCATGCCACTATAAGTTGTAAATCCTTGGGGAACATGTAGCTCACATTACACTATTGAATTACACTACCTACGAGCTGCTTGCAAGTGTGTCTCATGAAACATTATTATATTATTATTACTATTTATTTTACCTAATCTAATCTTAACTAACCTAAAGAGATCCCTTTTTTGTACATTTTAGTTACTTTTATAATAATGAATAAAGAATAAACATGAAAAACTAGAATATAGTACTTACCCAATCTTCTTTTTCCTTGGTGTTGATTGTCAATGACACTTAACCCTACTTTTTGCATACTAATGGTAGTAATGCATTAATTAATTTTTAATCGATTAAATAATACACCAAAGAACATAGACTGATAACATGCAAAAAGTAGACAATTTCCCCTATGATGTTGGTACTCTGAGTGAAGTTGACATCTAACTGTTCAGAACATAACATTATTCGATAGATGAAAACCTTGACTTTTTATTGGTTACAGGTAATATATATATTGAAACTTAAGAGAGAACTATCAACGAATTCTGAAAGATAGGATATGACAGGTGGATGTGGCAGGAGTGGTCTGATTTTCTATTCGATAGCTCTGTAACCGAACAAATTGAAGATTATATAAATTATAGTTTGTCTGATCAATAATGATTTTATAAAGAGTAATTTTCTTTTCCAGGATTTGTTAATAGTTCTCTCTTACATTTAATTATATATTACCTATAACCAATAAAAAGCTAAGGTTTTCATCTATCAAATGACGTATTGTATAACATTATGTTCTGAACAGATAATCATCAATTTCACACAGATTAGATTAGGCAAAATAAATCATAATAATATTATGATAAAAATGTTTCATGAGGCACATATGTGAGCAGCTCGTAGGTAATGTAAATCGTTAGTGTAATGTGAGCTGCATGTACCCTGAGTGATTTACAACTTATAATAGTACGGATAGTAGTTATACATGGTTCAAAGGGCAATAAAACAGTAAAATTTAATTATAAATAGATGTATACTGTTACGGACCTAGAGCTACTTAGGATAAACAAATGTAGTTTCATATTCAATTTGAAGTCATTCTAGAAAGAAAAAAAAGGGTAATTTAGGTTTATTTTGATTTTTTTTTGGTGGTTACAAGGTCGGTTGAACTGACTGATCCCGTTTTGAGATAAGGTAGAGAAAATACCAGATAAACTGTATAGTTTTACTGAAAAAAAACGTTTGAAATGCATTTAAGAGGTTTTACACAAAGGAACTTTGAGATGGTTAAAAGTATTTTTAATTTTACTTTAATTTTTAATTACTTTGCACACGGACTATTCAAAACAAATACTCATTATATTCATGGACAAATCTTTATTTTATTTTAATAAAAATATTATTTTTTGTATCTAAAAGACTGGATAATATTAACCCTTTCGACATGGGCTTGGTCCCTGGGACCGACCTCACCTCATAACCATTTTGTGCTTGTTATAGTTTTCATGCTATAACTTTTAATATTTTAAGTGTATCTTTACTTGTAGTAAACATTAGAAGCCTTTTGCACACAAAAGATCAGATTTTTTAATAAAGTATTTTTACTTATATTTGTCTGTGAAAATATTGATTCTTTTTTTTCAACTAGTCTGAGTGCAAAGTGATTTTCATTTTAGTGCAAAATGATTTTCATTTTAAGATTTAAAATACTTTTCTTTGTTTCAAAAATCTCAAATTTCATTTGCACAACCTCTGAAAACTCCTAAATACATATATATACTTTTTTTTCAATAAAACGTTATATTTTACCTATTATTACATTTATTATTTGATTCTTCAGCTTGTAGACAACTCATTGAAGTAGAATGAAAAGAAAAAATTGTAAAATCAGAAATATAATGAGCAGCTGTTTCGATTTTCTTCAATATTGATCATGAAGTTTCAAAGTTCTTCCCCTGACAGTTTCAACTGTAAAACATATTCCATATATTTTCTGTGTTTATTTTACTGTCACCTACAAATTACAAACCCAATTACAAAAAAGCAATAATTCACCACCCATGTTTACATACAACCGTAATACGAAACTCTCGAGTGGACGAACGCATGCGTATTCAGTGAGGTGACATTCATCTTGCTCTGAGAACACAATATAGGATATATCAATTTATAGTTCCTACAACACTTTCAACAGGTATTTCCCAGGGTAATAAAATTGCAATTAGAATATGTAAAAACATTTATTATATAGTTCAGAGTTGGTCTAATCCAATAAACATTGTAGGTTCTGAGCCAGGCTTATCCAATTACATAGCAGGTGTTTCAGTACTGTGGTCACCTATTTGATGTGTGTGGAATTATGCAGCATAAGTACATGAAGGTGTTATTTGGGCAAATTCTTATAAATGATACTACCCTCTCTCACTTTCACCACACTTAGAAAGTAAATGAGAAATACACTGACAAACAAAGATTTCGAGTACGTAACCGTGTTATGAAATGTTGCGCTCGTGCATCGCTCGTACGTCGAACTTGCTAGCCTTGACGTTAGCCTCGTTTATTCTTCTGGGTGGAGGGGTAGAAATACTAATTTTTTTAGGCTTCAGATATGAATTTTTGTAGACCAAAAAGTTATCAAATTACTGTACTGGTACACTCAAAATCCCTGTAATTTAGTCGGGTCTCTAAATAAACTGTATGTAGGTAAAAAAAAATCCCATTCCTGTTCAGAGCAATGACTAAATCATCACACTTCAATGGTTTTGGCAAAATTATTATTTTTTCCTTCAAGCTATTTATAAACAACTGTCAGAGTTACGTAGGGGTGAAAATGTTCTTTCTATTGGTTATAAGTAGTAGCTAATTAGTAGTAGGTGGGAATAGATAACAGCTTTCAAAAGATTGGTGCAGTGGGAGAAGCCACTCTAGTAGACTCGATAAAAATATTGTTATCTCAGCAAATCCTAGAAGAGG